ATTCAGGAACTTGTAGCTGGCGCAGGCTGGTCATTGTTAGAGAGCATCTTCCCTTGGAACTCCAGCCTCTCAGCCAACATAGTCAGGCAATTCATTTTTCATGGGCTTTCTCAGTCTGCTTATTCCTTCAGATGCCAAATCAATGAGTCTCAAGTGCACACCATCTCAAATAGGATACAAAACTCACCTCCTCCTCTTTTCTACCATCTTCTGGTCATTGTTTCAAGAGAATCTTTTTCAAAACACTAATATATCAGTCTAGAAGACTGAAAATTCTAGTTGAAGCCCTACTCCTACCTCTAAATAGCTAAATAAATTTGATGAAATTACTTCACCTTTAAGAAATCCAGCTTTTCAGCTGTGCACTGGAAATAAAATATATGTAACAGAATTTTTCTAAAGATTAAATAAAAAGTATAGTGTTTGAGGATGCTTTGAAGTTATAAAGCACTTTATGTAGCTATAAATTGGGAGATAATTATAACACAAAGGCTAGAATGTGGGATGTTTTTCTTCTATATAACCCTGTAAAATTTTCAAAGCAGCTGTGCCCTGATAAATTACAGGATAACATACTCTTCATCATAACATTTACAAAATCTCTTTTTTCTTTTATATAAATAGAAAAGGCATTTAATAAATGTTTGGATGGAAGGTTGGATCGTTGGATGGATGGGTGAGGGGAAGGGAGAGAGCCCATGCTTTTAAATTTTAACATATTATGCGATATGAACTCTGTAGGTAGGTTGAAGAGTAGAAGTCATTAAGCAAGAGACCCTGAACTGATTCCTTGTGTCAGTAAACTTGTTTGTCTGCCGTTTGTTTTTCATTCAACAAAAATTTATTGTGTAACCACCATCATCTGGATATTGTGCAAGTTTCAGAGAAACCACAGTTGAATATGTCATTTTTTTTTCTGGTGCCCATTTATTCAGCTGCCAACTTTGCCCCTTAAGCATTCCTAGGAATACAGAATAAGCTGAAACTTGCATACTCGTACAAAGAGTCCTGAGTTGTTCAGGGCTACACTTGTCAAAATCTCATCTTGGAAATCGTTTCCTAATCATTCCTAATTATTCTACTAGAACCACAGCTGAGGGTTGGGAATTTAGCTCAGTGGCACAGCACCTGCCTTGAAAGTGCAAGAGTTCAATCCCTGGTACAAAAACAAACAAACAAACAATGAAGCACAGCTGAATGTGCAGCCTATGCACTTTCTATGGATCATATAATATGTTTACGCAGAGAGGAGATAGCTCTTTCCACCTTCTCTCACTTTTCCCTGGATGTCCTTGAGCCCTGTTCTCAGGAGCAGCTTGTGCCAAGCTATGTAGGGCCATCTTAAAGGAGAAAAGGAAAGGCTGCTGGATTCATGTGTTATCACAGAAAGTATCTCTTATGCACTGCTGTTGCATCAGGGATGGCATGAGACAGTGCAGGGAACTTTCCAGAAGGATATGCCTTTTGTCAGTGCTGTATGACCCTGGTTGATGGCCAGTTGGTCTCTTTAGGACTGGTGTATTAGGATTTTGGGAGGGTGTTTTGGTTCTTGTCTTTCTAGACAAGGAGATTCTTTTCCTGATATAGTAGCATTGTGTATATTGTATACTGATAATGGCCAAGGAAGAAGCTTGGTATTTCTCTCATTGTGGATATAAGAGAACTAGTTCACTCTTGTGACAGAATTGGTACTGAAACTCACATTTCCTCTCTATGACTGTTCTGTGGTGAACTAACAGTTCCAGTTTTTTTTTTAGTATATAAGACAGTTATAGCATCATAGAGTTAGAGAGAGTATAGAAAGGACAAGACTTTTGGTGTCAGAGAGAACAAGGTCAAATTTGCTTCTTGTATCTGTGTGACATTGGGCTAGTTATCTGAACTCTTTGGTCCTTTGTTTCCACATCTCTTGAAGGGAAGAAAGAATATTTACCTCTAGTGGATATTGCAAACATTAAAGAGCAGAATACATAAAATCTGAGCAACATACTTGGCCTATGTTAGAGGTCTGATTGTTTGAAAATAAAGGAAAAATGTGGTTGATTCTTGAGAGGACATACAAATGTTGGTGACATTCGTGTTCATGGTGCTGACAGTGGCAGTGATGATGATAACAAAGCTACCACTGGCCAAACATCTATTTTTGAGCACTTTCTCAAAAATCAAAGCAACCATGTGATGTTTTATTTACTTAATAGCAGATCTCTCTCTTTTCAAATTCTGATTTTTCTTATTCATTCTTAATTCTCAGCCTAGATATGCTAACTAGAGAAGAAACAAAGAAATATCTCCCACAAATCTTTTTCTCCATTTTAAGTTATTGTCAAAATGGAATGGCCTTGTAAGGTTTACTTTGTACTGTATATAGGTGGAACCAAAAAAATATGGGTCATTCTGAGGAAGTCTTTGAAATTTATTTCTAGCAAAGGACCAGCAGTGATCAAGCCCTGTTCTGTTAGGGATCCCGGGATCAATAGTTTAAAGACTGCAGTATTTTGAGATGTACTGATAGCAAACACTCCCTACCCAGTCATCGGGTTTTTGTGTCAGTGTTGAGGAACCAACACTTAGGAATTGGATTACCTGAGTAAGAATCACAGTCCTGATCCATGCAAGCTCTGTGACCCTTGTGAAGTTCTTTTTTTCCTCTGTGTGTGTGTGTTTGTTTGTTTTTCATTTCTAAGCTTCAGTTTCTTCTCTGTAAAACAAGGACAATAATAGTATTGGCCATATTAGTCAACTGTTTTAAGAATAAAATTAGACATGTCAAGAGAGGGCATATAAGAAAGGCTCAGTTCAAATTCTCTCAGTCTGAAGTTTCCTCCTTGTGGTCTGAGTGGGGAGCCACATCCTTCAGGTTCCATACAGGAAATATGCCACACTAAGGGTTTAAAAAAGAGAATTTCATATGCAAAGAAAACTGTCTCCTGATGTTGAAGGATCTCAGAAGCTGGAGATCAATAGATCTATTGATCAATAGATCAATAGAATGGAAGCTGCTACTACCAGGAGGCTGGTGTCACAGGAGAGAGGGAGTGTGGATATTGAGGGCAGGTGACACCAGTGATTGCCGCAGCTATGGTCATACTGTCAGTACAGCTGAAGGTGAAAGGGAAATGTCCACAGTTTGAATCTCCCTCTGAGCAAAGGCAAGGAGACGTGCTTTGGCTTTTCCTCTCCTCCAGCGCCTGTATCTCTTGGCAGGCTGGACCTTCGCTGAGTCTGGAAGCTACAGTCTGGGGGCAGCCTCACCAAGCTGAGCTGAACAGGAGCTTGTTCTGAAAGCAGATCAGCCCAGACACCTGCAGGCTCAAGTCCGAGGCTTTAGTTGCTTGGTCCTGAGATTTAACTACTGTGATAAGCTTCGCAGAAAGTTCAGCAGAGCTGTACTTCCCCTGCAGCTGGGTCTCTGAACAATAGCAGAGGTGCCCGAAGTTGCTGTGCCCAGAAGGGAGAATTTGGGAAACGCAATGGAAAATCCTAGAAAACTGTAAGTGGCTTCTCTGTGGCCCCTACATCCACAGTCCTAGAAAAGCCTGCTTGTTAAGTCTCCTGTGTCTCAATGTCTGAGCATTTGTGGCCTAATAAGACACCTCCATCCTGCCTTTCACCTGGCTATCTCCTGTGGAACTCAGTATGGACTGAACTCCTTGAGAAGACCCTCTGGATTTCAGCAGAAATGCTCAATTTAGGGCTCTCTCTCACTAGTCTGTGGGTGCCCTGAGCACAGGAACCCGTGTTCTGTATCTTGCATCCTCCAGTATTAGTACTCTCACTTTTTGCCCTGAGACGACAGCTCTGGCAGGCACTGGCCTGCCAAGCATGTGAATAGGCAAGGCCAGCTTTGTCTGGCTTTTATTATAGAAAGGGATGAGGTGGTTCATGAGCTCTAAAATTGCCAGTCTTTTCTATTAGGGATTTCTAATGGTGCAAGAGAACATTGAACAAGGAGATTCCATCTTCCCTATAGGACCAGGAGGCCCTTCCTGAGGTAAATAACATCTATGTTAGGAGCAAATAGGAGCCAGCCTAGTGAAGAGGCTGTGGATTGCATTCCAGGCAGAGGGAGCAGCATGTGCAAAGTTGCAAAGGAGCAACTAGTTCTCTAGATTGAGAAGCAGGTGGCAGTGTGTGGAGCTGAAGTGATTGGCTGGAGGCTTTCTCTCCTGCATGCCAGTGTCGGATCCCTGTCTTGCACTGTTCACCTCCTGCCTCATGCTGTAATGGTGCATTTCTTGTCTGTGGCTTCCACATCACACCTAAAGTGTCATTTTGTGCAAAGATTACTTGTTGGATATTTAAATACATGAAAGTGGACCATGTCTGTCTAGCTCTCTGATCATATTTGTAAGCTCATTTGCCCAGCAGGTATTGAGGAATATAGTCTCTGTAGAAAAACCCAAGTCTCGACTGTATATTGGGAAACTCTGCGACCTGACATTCTTTCAAAAGGAACTCATGTTCATTCTCTCTCTCTTTTGCGCTTGGGTCCCTGCAATACGTGGGAATGAGATCAGTGACCTAGGGATGCCAGGAAGACTCAGTCCTGAGGTTGTTCCTCTGCACTTGCCTTCTTTGAAATGGAGGTGTGATGCATTGGATCAGACTCCATGCTCCTGCTCCACTCCTGACTGCAGTGACGGTGGGCAAGTCTGTTAAGAACTGCAGGCTGCAGTTCTGCCTTAATGTCTGTCTGTGGCATTCCTGACATCTCCCCTACAGTGCTAATATCCAGTGAGAGCACACGTGTCAATGTGCAGCACATGCCTTCCCCTTTGTGAGTAAAACGAGCTGGTGGCCACTGCTCTCAATACGGAAGGCAGTACAGTTACTGTGACTACCATAAGATCAGAGCCATACATGGGTCAGAGCAGATTTCCTTATTTCCCATGACAGGTGAGGAGACTGGCCCACACAGGGAACATAGAGGGTTTTATGCTTGTTCTGGCTTTCTTTCCTTTTTTTCTTTAAGAGATTTGTTTTGTTTTACTTTCTCACAGGAGTGATTGGAGCAGACGTGGCAGGTCACGGCCTTATCTGTGAGGGCCAGCCAGTGACATCACGGCTGGCTGTCATCTGTGGAACATCTTCTTGTCACATGGGGGTGAGTATGCTGAACACCAGGGTGAGACTACTGCATGCGGAGGGAAGCAGCCCAGGATGAGGGATGCTGATACTGGTTCTTTCACTCCTGCCTTGCCTCTCTCTTTTTCCTTTCTGCACCATTGCAGACCACCCTTCCCACAGCCTGACATAAATTTTCCCAGGCTTTTTCCAGGGGCCAAATTCTTAAAAAGCATGCAAAGGGTGAGTCTGCTTTTGAAGACAACCTGGCTAGAGAACCAGGCATGGTGAGTGTAGTTGGTCCCAAAGATGACAAAGTCACATTCCTCCAGAACAATCTGTCTCTGAGGGTAGCACAGACTTCTCAGAGAAGTGACTCTCTTCCTTGGCCTAAAGCTCTCCATCAATATAAATCCATCTCCCTGGGAGCATCCTGATGAGCTATAGAATTAGGTTGCATATCATGACTTCTAAAGAACACTGATAAGCAATTTTCACTTTGTCAATTTTTCTCCATGAATTAATGGAAAGGCTTTCTCCAAGATTGCATTTAAAGTTTAGTGCCTGCCCTAAAATTTATATCTTCTTTAAATGCATGAGTCTGAAAGCATTCCATTTCGATAAGTACCTATTTCTACCATATTTTTATTTAAAAGTCATTACTCTGTTAAACTGAGATGGACGACTCCTTGGATTTTTCCCAGATGAGTACAATAGAGGGGAATGTGGAAGAGGGGGCAGTGGCAGGAGATAAGCAGAGAGTAGTGTGGGACACAGACCAGGGCAGAATTGTTTGCAATCCGAAGGAAATCATGTGCTCCTGGTTAGGGCCTGTTGAGACCACACAGAACCTTTTTTGTTGTTAGTAGATGCTTGATGCAATTACTTATTTGCTGACCCCTATTGTTATATCCTCTCAATGCTAAATACTGGGAACATAAGGTTGACGTAGACCCTCCCATAGATGAGATAGAGTTATACTAGATATTGCAACATGAGACTAAAATACAAGTTCATACTAAAACCATGATCCTGAGCATGTATGTGCCAGCCACTGAACAAGGTGTTCTTGCGTGTGGTATCCCATGTCATGGAGATATTTGAGCCAGTCTTACAGGCCCACTTCCTGAAAATGGGCCATTGGAAAAGGCACTTCAACTCTCAGGGCCTCAGATTCCTCACCTACAAAATATGGAGCATGACAGCCTGTATCTCCTGGTGTGAGAACTGAATGAGGTAAAGTATTTCACATGGGTGAGCTCTTCCCAAGGCCTGCTCTTGATTACCTGTGCTTAAGTTATGGGGTGGCAGGAAGCCAGTGGCTCTACCAGGAGGGTCCCGAGTTACAGAAATCTTTCCAGGGTAACATTTGGGCTAGACTTGGAGGGCATACTTTTCTTTTTACTTGTCTCTCTGACCTATAGGCTAAATGGAAGTTCCTTGACCAAATTTAAAAAGTTGTCACAATTCTTCCCCGTTAGCAACCCTAATGTGGAAGTGTAGTGGTGAAGTGTAGCTGTCACTGAAGGCAAGTCAAGGACTCTTTTAGCAGGAAGGACTCAAGCGTCAAGCTAGCCTTTATTTCCCTCGATGTAGGTATATACTTATTCACAGATCTCCACCAATCCCTGATTTAAACCTGTTTAAACCTCCCCTTAGTTTGAGTGGGACAAACCTGCTTTGGCTTCCACCATCAAGCCTGAGTGTCAGGCATCTGTAACTTTCTCAGTTTTGACTACTAAGCAGACGCAGATCTAAAGAAAAGTCACTCTGTAATCCCTTGCTTTGTCACTTCAAGGGATGATACTGGCTTTTCCTGTTTTACAAATGAGGAAACGAAGGCATGCAAAAGTCCACTAATTTTCCCAAGATTTCAAAGATACCAAGTTCTGGATCCAGGAACCTAGATTTTGCCCTGTGTGGTCTCAAAGCTCACACCCTCGGCTATAACATGGTACTACACATGTTGACCATAAGCCTGTAGCGAAGTGGAAAAACCAGGGACTTGCAGTTGTTAAATAAATTTAAGACATCTTTTCATGCACCGTTTGGCCTTGTGACCTGAGTGAGCCACTGAAATTCTCAGAAACCCTCGGAATCTTCATCCATCAAATTAAGGGTGACGGTGCCAGTCTCAGAGGGCTGCTGGATATCATGCATCATGGGTACATGTGCCTACCAGCCAATAAACATTTGCCAACAGAAGGGATTCCAATGAAACTTTCCCTGAGACATAAATGGCTCACACCAAGCAACTGTTTGGGCTTTAACAAATTTGATGGGCAGCGGCAGTTGCCTGCAATGAATAAGGGCCATAAAATGTCAGTTTACGGAGTCCTTCTTACTGGGAATACACTACCCACCCCCACTGCCTTTGTACTTTCAAGTGGGAACAGGCCTTTTAGGCCAAGGGGATTAGTCATCAGCTTTAATGTTATGTCACAAGGTGAGACTGTGGTCACACTGGCATTGGGAAGTGACTTTGATCTCCCTCAGGTGCTGTGAGCCCAGCAAGCCAGCAACAATATCACCTTTGTGAGGTCCAGGAGAGGTGCAGTCTGAGGAGTGCTCCCAGGGAAACTCAAGGACCCCTTTTGTTGTGGTTCTGGCAAGTAAAACTACAACTGTTGGGAAAATTTTGCCAAACAGAACATGGACAAAAGTGCCTGTGAGATTTTCAAAAAGTGGTTTTGAACATGATCTAAAGGGTTATCCTTCTTCCTGTCTGCTTACTTCTGATGTTTCCAATTCCGTGGGTTAACTGAGACAAATCCCCAAGCACATTTTGTGCTTGATCCAGATTTCTCCTTTCTAGGTCACCCCAAAAGAATGAGTAAAGGAATGACCAAGTAATTGACTATTGATAAACACTTAGAAACTTCCTACTTCCAAGAATCTGGAGAGAAAGTCTAAAGTGAAATCTAACAAGTACTAATCAGGCCTTTGATATTTTAGAAGATACAAGTGTGGGCTGCACATTTATCTTCCTCAAGGATGATTTAATTAACAAAGAAAAAGTGCCTGCCGTTCTTTTCTAACTCCATGAAAGAAGAGCTGCTTGCTCAGAGTTAATTAGCACTAAGTCACTGAAACTCAGGATAAGACACACAGCAGGGGTTAGCCAGAGGTTGAAAAGTCACCAGGTCATGGAGCCAATCCTTGCCATTGCTCCAGCCCCCTTTTCCTGGTGCTGTCGAGTTGAGTTGTAACGTGGCAGCTTGTCCTCCAGCACTTGTGTCAGGGGGTGGGGTGGGGAGGGATACTGACGAGGTGAGGCTTGTGCAGAGCAAGACTTGAGAGCTGAGAAGTCAGCTGCACCTTAAGTTGCTCAGAAATGAAATTTTCAGTCTTCAGTTAATGTAGAGACAAATGTAGATAATGTAAATATTTTGTCACTGGGTGAATATGCAGTCTTAAGGACATAGGCTCCTATGCTAGCCTGGGTACTGCCTGTGACTTTAAGTAAGACATCTTGCAGAGCTGCAGTTTCTCCATCTGCTAAATGTAGGCAATAGCATTTTCCTGTAAATTTATGTTGAGAATTAAATTAGGTAATCATTGCAAATAGTTTGGTACCATGTCTGACACAAATTACCAAACATGGGGTTATTATTATAAATGATAACAGAACAATCATGTGGAATGGATTAATATTAAAAACATTGATAAGAATTCATTTTTAACTTAACATAGGATACAGCTATGGATATGTGTGTATGTTTAGATGAACAGGTTAATAGCCATAGTTATATTACCTAACGCTTCAGGTGAGAGGGCCTGGAAATAAGATTACCCAAGAATCAAGTCATACAAGCACACTTGGCAACCAGAACTTGGTGTCTAATGCCCCTATTCATTGAAAAGAGCCAGGACTCCTTAAAGAAATGTTTGATGCTAGGACTGGGGTACAAAGTTGGGTATTTTATAAGAGGCTTATTTTGCTCGTGGGTCTAGAGATTCAAGAGCATGGTACTGGCGTCAACTCTGTTCTGATGAGGACTGCTTGGCTAGATCATCATAGGTAATCAAACAAGAACCCTGGAGGGAAGAAGGAAGAGGGGGAGGATGTGGGGGGGGGTTCGGGCCTCCCTCTAGGCCCTTTCGCCTCTCAACATTGCCATGCTAAGGCCCTGGCTTCCAACACAAACCCTTGAGAAACACACTCAAGCTGTTCAAACCATAGCAAAGATAAAGCATCTATTAGTCATAAACTGTTACTGAGTAACAGAAGCTAGACCCCCTCATAAAAATACAAACTATTTAAAAATCTAGGAAATGCACACTGATGTACAGTGACTGAGAGCAACTTGGCGGTTGCCTACAATAGGGTAGTAGGTGCAAAGAGGTCCAAGAAAATACAATCATAAACATGACATAAGGAAATATTTGAGTGGCAGACATATCACCTTGATGGTGGTGGTATCTTTATCGGGCACATGTTGTATCAAAACATCAAAGAGACATTTTAGACATGTGCCATTTATTAAAAGCCAATTACAGATACAGTTTTATGAAAAAGCAAAAGAGAAAATTGGAAAACTCAATAGTATCTGTGTCCACATACATAGTGCTTTTAGTTTTGTGGGCCCTATACAACACTAAAATTAGTCCTCATTTTAAAGACAGTACACAGTAAGTGATCAATAAATATTAGTTTTTCGCTTTTTTCCTCCCAAACTCAATTCTCTTAACTCTGCCAACATATTTCACTCTGCCCTTCTTGCTGTTACTTTTGTGTTTATGGTGGTGGCATGTATCTCAGGGGAAGCCGACTTGCTGAGCGAGTCCACACCTCCTGCACCTCCCCTAGGCCCATCCCGCCCCATGTCATCGTAGATGCTTAACTAATGACACCTGGCTGGGTTCCTTTGCCTGGAGCTGGTACAGGTGCTTGGATTTTCTGGAATCTCATCTCACTCTTCTCATTTGCTCACCCGTTTTGCTGAGTGAGGCCTCACTGGTGGGTAGAAGCCCCTCAGGTCTAAGGGACTGTGTGTCTATTACCCACCCCCTTTTCATCAGGGACATCAGGGAGCTCAC